ATTTGTGTGTGATTGTTTTGTTTAGTTATTTTTAGTTGTTTAGTGTGTGGGTGTCTTTGTGATATAGTTTGGTATATATTATTTATGCTATTTAGATTGTGTTTTGTTTTTTTTAGTTATGTATTATTCTATTATTTGTTTATTTTTAGATTGTTTATTTTAGATTTGGTTCTATATTTATATATGTTTATTTATTTAATTGTATATATTTTTTATTTGTATTTATTTATTTTTTTGGTTTTATATTTAATTGTCCTTTTGTAGTGTTTTATTTTGGGATTTTGTTTTATATAATGTATTGAGTTATAGTTTGTATTTCTTTGCATTTTTTGTAGATTTATTTTATGTATATATTTTTTTGTATTGTGTTAGTTGGGGTGTTTTATTGTTGGTTTTGTATTATTTTTTGTGATGTTTTGTTTTATATTTGTTTTTTTTTTTATATTTGTATATTTTTTTTATAGTTGTTTATTTTTTGAGATTTTGTATTTTTTTTGTTGTTTTATTGTTGTATATTTATATAGATGTTGTTTGTGTTAGTTTTGTTTTGTGTGATATTTTATATGTATTATTATATTTTGGTTTATTTTGTTTTTATTATGTTGATATTTATTTATTTGTTATGTTTATAGGATTTAGATTTTTTTATTTTTGTATAGAGAGGTTATAATTTTTTTTTATTGTTTATTTGGGAGGTTTTTTTTTTTAGGTTTTTTTTTTTTTGGCTTTTGTGTATTTAGTTTTTATATATATATGTTAGTTTGATATGTATTATATATATTGTGATTTATTTATATTTGTATGTTTTTGTTAGTTATTTATGTTTATATTTAGTTGTTTTGGTTATTATATATTTTTTTATGGATAGATATATTAGATGTTTTGATTTTATTGGGATGTTAGATTTATTTAGATTGGTGTATATATATTTTTTTGCTTTAGTTTTTTATGTTGTTTTTTATATTTAGGTTTATTTATTTTTAAGGTTTATGTATATTTTTAATGTTTATTTATTTATTACTGTTTATTTATTTTTGAGGTTTTGATATATTGGTGTGTATTTATATTGTTATGGTTTTTTAGATTGGTTTATTATTTTGTTTTTATTTATTTGTGGATTTAGGTTATTTATGTTATTTTTTTATATGTTTTTAGATATTGTTTATATATTATTTATTTTTAAATGTTTATTTATATTATGTTTTATATTTATTGTTTTTATATATTTGTTGTTTGTGATAGTTTTTTATTTGGTGTTTTTGTATTTATATTTATTATGTTTATATATTTATTTTTTAGTTTTTTTATAGTATTTGTATATTTATGTTTATATTGGTATTTATATATATATATATGTTTATTTAGATATTTTTGTATATTTTTTTTTGTTAATGTTTTTATATATATATATAATGTATATATATTTTTATATATAAATTTATCATATAGTTTTTATGTTTTTTGTGAAGTTTTGGTATATATATATTGATATATGTTTATCTTTTTTTTATATGTTTACTATAGATATAGTTTATATTTTTAGGTTTGATATTTTGGTTTATTATTTTATGATTATTTGATTAATGTATTTATTTATTTTGGTATTATTTATTTATTTGTTTATCACTTTATTTGTATATAGTTATTAAGTTTATTTATTGTTTTGTTATTATATTTATTATGTTTTTTATATAGGTTTATTTTTAATGTATATATATATATGTATTTATTTTTATGGATTTATACTTTATGTTATTATATATTATGTATATAGATATATTATGTTTTATTATATTATTATTTTTTTATATATGTTTTAGTTATTTTCATGTTTATATATATATGTATGTATATATATATATGTTATTTATTTATATATGTTTATTATATGTATTTAGATGTTTATATTTTTATATATGTATATATATATATTTATATGTATTTATATATATATTATTGTTTATTATATATATGTATTATATATTTATATATGTTTATATATATATTTAGATTATGTAGATTATATATATATATATATTTGTATTTATATATTTATATGTATATATATATTTATTTTATGTATATTTTATATAGATATGTTTTATATATATATATGTATATATCTATATTTATGTTATATATATATATATTTTATATGTATTGATTATTTATTGTCGTGCCGATTAAGGGCAGAGAAACTTGCGATCTGGCTCTTAAATAGCAACGCTCTTCTTGCCATATAGGTACATCTAGTGAATATTTAGTGTATGCAATAATTTCGCCAATTCTTTTGAAACCTAACGAAAAAAATTATATTTTGGTTTTTTGTTGTTTTTCACTGTGTTTGTTTTGTATCAAATTTTTTGTAATACTATTCACTTATTTTTTTTGTTGGGTTAGTTGGACATTTAATTATTTTGTATTGCGTTGAGTTTTAGGTTAGGTAAGTTGGATGTTTATTGTGGGGGCTAATATGTCTAAAATGTTTGTCTTGAATTTTTTGGTTTTTTATTTAGGGTTGCTTGGGTATTGTTAGTGTTTTGGATGTTTGGTCGGTAGTTGTTAGGAGTGCTGGAGTTGGGCACCTGGGGGTCTGTGGGGCAGTCTGTGTGTGGGTGTGTGTGTGTGGTGTGGGTGGTGTTGTGTGCGGGAGTGTGTGTCGTGTGTGTGTGTGTGTGTCGTGTGTGGGTGTGTGGGTGGTGAGTGTGGTGTGTTGTGTGTGTGTGTGTGTGGTGTGTGTGGGGGGGGATGGGGGGGGGTGGGGGGTTGTGTGTGTGGGGGGTGTGTGTGGGGGGTGATGTGGTGTGGGGGGTGTGTGATGTGTGTGGGGGTGTAGTGTTGTGTGGGGGTTTTTGTGTGTCGTGTGAGTGTGGTGTGTGCTTGTGTGAGTGTGTGTGGGTGTGAGTGTGAGTGAAGTGTGTGTGTTGGGTGTGTGTGTGGTTCGGCGGGGTTGGGGACATTTGGTGAGGGGGATTGGTTGAGTTGTGGTGGTTGGTGTTGTGGTTAGGTTGTTTGTGAACAGGCCGGAGGACGGGAAATACGGCGGGGAGGCCTACGGGAGGGGGGAGGGAAATACGCAGCGGGAACATAAGAAGACGGGAAATAAGGAGGGAGGGAAATAGGGGCGGGACCACCGGGCCGACGGGACATAGGGCGCACAGAGTGGGCGCTCAGAGGGAAAACTAAGGAGAGGGAAATAAGGAGGGGCGGGACCTGTGGAGGGTAGGGAAATCAGGAGGGGCAGGGCCTCACTCCAGGAGGGGAGGGAACATAAGGGGAGGGAACTACTCACGGAGGGGAGGGAAATCAGGCGGGGGCGGGAAATAAGGAGAAGCAGGGCAATTAAGGAGACGAGGGACATCAGGAGGGAAGGGACGGGAAATAAGGAGGGGCGGTTACTAGTAGGCGCGGGGCACTCCGGCGCAGCGGGACACTAAGGGCGACGAGGGACCTACGAGGGCCTCAGGAGAGGGCATCACGGGGGGCCCCACACCTCACCGGTCAGGGCACATAGGAGGGACGGGAAATAAGGGCGGGGCGGGCCTAAGGGGGGGCGGGCCCTCAGGAGGGGCGTGACCCTCGGCGGGGCGAGACACATACGGGGGGAGAGCCCTCGGCTGGGCGCGCACAAAGGCGGGGAGAGCATAAGGAGGGGCAGCGCCCACCGGCTGGTCTCTCCACAGGAGGTGGCGCCGTAGTGGCCCACACTTCTTGTCTCTCCCACCTTCTTGTCTCTCCCTCCTTCTTGTTCTCCACCTTCTTGTCTCTCCCACCTCTTGTATTTCCCACCTTCTCTTATTTCCCTCCTTCTCCTCTTTCCACCTTCTCGTCTGTCCCACCTTCTTGTCTTTCCCACCTTCTTGTCATTCCCACCTTCTAGTCTTTCCCACCGTCTTGTCTTTCCCACCGTCTTGTCTTTCACACACGTCTGGTCTTTCCCCACCGTCTTGTCTTTCCCCTCCTTGTCTTTCCCCTTTTGTCTCTTCCTCTTTTCATCCTCCCTCTTTTACTTTTTCTATAACTTTGTATGCCTATTTCTACTACTATTCTTTTTTTGTTTTAATTTTTGTCAATCTCCGTCTTCATGGTCATCAATTGTCTTCATCATCATCATCAAGAAGTTCATTTACATCACTGCTGCTGCCGTTGCTTTATTTTTTTTTCTTCCTCTTGCATTCCTTCTCATCTCTGTATTCATCCTTTTCCTCATAAATTTCTTCCTGTCTTCCTTTTCCTCCTTTTCTTTAGCTGTAATCTTTTTCCTCTTCCTTGTCCTACTTTTTTTCATATCTCTACATTTCTTCACATTCACCTCCTCTTCCTTCCTTCTTCCTCCTCTTTTCCATCAAAGTTTCCCAGTAGAGTCCAGTGGCAAAATTCTACCAGGGGTCCAGGAGTTTCTTGGTTTTCTGCAGTTGAACTCCATAGCTCTGCCACTGATGGCAATAAAAATGGGGTGTTTTTTTTTCTTTCGCAGCAGGCATTAGTCTTAGCAGCCTAGCATAATATTTAATTAATCAATTAAGACTTTCGTGAAGGGGGTTAAGCAAGGAGCCTTGTTCCATTTCATCTGAACTTCTTTTTATACCTCTACTTTAGCTAAACCATTTCTTTGAACTTTTATGCAAGTAACTTCCAACATCATTTTACTTGCTGGCAATCACCAGTAGCCTGACTGGTAGACAGGCTGTAATTAGCAGATGGAGGCTCAAATCTCACTCCCTTGCACTGATAGTAGACCTAAAAAAACATTAGATCAAGTCGAATCATTTTACCCTCTGATTATTTAAAAATAATGTATGCCAAGCAATCATTTTACATATCTGTATGTTAGGAATCTTCATTTGTCATTCTTTTTTGTCATTATTTAACAATAGCTATATTTAATCTTAACTGTCTTGGAACTTTGTAGTTGTTTTTCTGGAATCGTACATTAATGTTATATTTAAATCCGTTGTATATAGTTTTTGATAATCTATCTTAACAATCCATTTCGTCAGATCATCAAAGACAGGTGCCATCGTGGAAGATACGGCGGAAGTTACAGTTCGAGCACTAGCCGTGAGACATAAAAGATTATTCATTATCAGTCGGCACGCCAACTCGTTCGCCGAAGTAGAAGTCGTATAGTCCCCTTACTCATTCAGAGTAAAGGTAATGTACCTTTCACCACCGAAGCAGGGTACCCAGCCCCTCTCGTACCAAGAAGTACTTCTTGGCGTAGGAGTAGAAGCGTGCCACAGCAAGACTTCGAAAAGTGGAGTTGCAGTCCAGTAAAACCAAAATACAGAAGAACCCAGCCCACATCACTCTCGCAGTAGAAGCATAGCTTAGGCAGCCTCGAAGTGAAACCCGTGGTTGGGCCAGCCCTCAAGTAAAAGTCGCAGTTTAGGCAACCTCGAATGGGAAGTGAATTTGGGAGACTTCGAAGTAAAGCCATAGTTAGGCGACCTCGAAGTAGAAGCCATACCCTGGGCAGACCCCGAAGTAGAACCCATAGTTTGGGCAACCCCAAAGGTAGAAACCATGGTTAGGAAACCCCCAAAGTAGAACCCTACCCCAAGCAGACCTCGAAGTAGAAGTCATAGTTTAGGCGCCTCGAAGTAAACCCATTTTTTAGGGGGTTCAAAGTAGAAGCGGCTTGGTAGCCCTCGAAGTAGAAGCCATAGTAGGTGACCTCGAAGCAGAAGTTGACTTAAGTAGAACGAAGTAGAAGTCATAGTTTAGGGGAAATCAAAGTAGAATCACAGCTTGGGTGGAAATCGAAGAGAAGTCATAGTTTTGGCAGCCCTCGAAGTAGAAGCTTTGTTTAGGCAGACCCGAAGTAGAAGTGTAGTTTAGGCAGCTCAAGTGGAAGTTGTAGTTTTAATAACCCTAAAAATAGAACCCTTTTAAATGGTGACCTGAAGTAGAAGCCTAGTTAGGAAAAGTGCAGAAGTAGAAAGTCATACTTAGAAAAAACCTCAAAGTAGAAGCCGAGTTTTAGGTAAGTGTGAAAGTAGAACCCTTTTGCTTGGCTAGATAAAGGTACAAGTCAAAAAAGGGACAGCTCAAATAAAGTAAAACCCAAATGCAAAAAGAGCAAGGGCCCTTTCCCAGTTTCACCGAAAAGAAGTTTATTTCAATCGATTTTAAAAGCAGAAGTAATACTCCAACTGTTTAAAGTAGAAGTAATACTTCAATTAAACCTGAAGGGGTGCCCCCAAAAAAAGCCGAATAGGAGTCGCAGTTTTTAAAACCCCACAAAGAAGTTTTGATAATCGACTCAGAAAGAAGTAAGGTCCTCTGAACTTAAAGCAGGAGCACTGCCCTCACAGTTAAAGTTAAAGCGGAGCCCCAATTGTCCTAAAAGAAAAAAATCGTACTCCAACCTCAACAGAGGCAAAAAAAATAGTCCATCCGAAACAGGCAAGAACAATAGTATCCAGTGAAAGCAGTTAAATCTTGAGATATTTATGCGATTAGATGAGAAAATTGAAAGTCTCCCTCTCCTCCCAAAAGTAAAAAAAGATCAGCCTCTCAGAAAATTTATTCCACAGTTTTTGCTGCTTTACTAGAAAAATTAAAGAAATTTTAAGAACGGCTGCAGATAAAAAATCTATCGATGTTCCTTCTAAACAAAAAAGTAAGGAAGAACCATTTTTTTCAGATGAGAACATAGATGATGACAAGGTTGGGTTAGGCTTAGAAGAAGTAGGAGAGGAAGTAGATGATATATTTTCCAAGTCAATAATCTGGTCTGTCAATGATTCAATAGAAACTGTTTTCAAAGAAGGTCTTCAGAGTGGAAAAAGACAGAGAGAGTTCCAAGCTGGCAGTAACCCTTCTCCTCCCAGACCTAAACCTTTACCAAAACCAATTCAAGGGTCAGGTAAAACTGAAGTAGGTTATTGCAATGATTGGGAAATTAAAACTGATCTTGAAGATCCCTCAAAATCCATACAGAAACTTGATAGTAACTCCTCTCCACCTAAATCTCTGTCTTTAACAAAATCAACACAGGGACCAGATAATGCTGATATAGGTTATCATGGTGACTGGGAATTGAAAACTGCTCTTCATGATGCCTCCAAATCTGTTCAGAAACAGATGCAATTTCCAATGGCTCCACCAAAGCTTGCAACTAGTGGGAGCAAATCAAATAATTCATCTCTCTGGACTCCAGCTCTTGATCGTCAACAGGTACAAGAATCTAAGCTGAAAATGAGTTCCCAGAACCGATCAAGTGACTGGGAAGTAGAAACGCCTTATGTTGGAAGGTAAGAGATGCTGATAATTAAATTATTTTAAAACAATTATTTTTAAGAATGAAATAGATGTTTTTTTTATTTTCTGAAATACAAGATGCTTATATTCATGAAAGAATTCCTACAAATATGCCTATACAAACCTCTGTGTATGGATGCACCATATTTTCTCAAGTTAAATGCACCCTAATTTTACCAGATTTTTTTGAAGGAAAATGTATATAACCATACATGTTCTGTCTCTACTATTTACTGCAATCAGCAAAAGTGAGAGAGAGAGAGAGAGAGAGAGAGAGAAAGAGGTGGTGAGGATAGGTAAAACACTGAATATGTAATTATTTCTGCATATTAACACAGCATTAATGTACTTCTGCATTTCTTTTTTTTTTTTCTCAAGTCGGCCGTCTCCCACCTGGGCAGGGTGACCCAAAAAGAAAGAAAATCCCCAAAACGAAAATACTTTCATCATTCAACACTTTCATCTCACTCATATATAATCACTGTTTTTGCATAGGCACCCAGATACAACAGTTCCAAAGCATATATAAAGATACAATATAAAAAGTGACCTGAAATAAACTTACAATATCAGGGCCCCAATTATATATATACACCCTCCTATTACACATCCCACCAAACTGCCAATATCCCAAACCCCCTCCCTTTAAAGTGCAGGCATTGTACTTCCCATTTCCAGAACTCAAGTCCGGCTTTATAAAAATAACCGGTTTCCCTGAATTCCTTCACTAAATATTACCCAGCTCACACTCCATAGGCTCATAGGGTCTCAAAAACCATTCGTCTCCATTTACTCCTATCTAACACGCTCATGCACGCTTGCTGGAAATCCAAGCCCCTCACCCACAAGACCTCCTTTACCCCCCCCCCAAACCTTTTTTGAGGACGACCACTCTTTAAGGGGGCCCTTTGGGCGTGGTTTAAGAGGCTCTTGGTTGAGGAAATTAGACCTGTCGCACTTCCCGACCGAAAAATTTTCCCCCCCCAAAATCCCCCTTTCCCCTATCCCTCCTCCCCTTTTTTTCTTTCCTCCCTCCTCCCCTCCCCCCCCCACCCCTTTTGCCCCCCTTTTTTGGGCCCTTTTGGGTTTTTTTTGTTTTTGTTTTTCCCCGGGAGCTAGTTCCTGTAGGGGAAAGGGTACCGGGGGTCCACCCCCTTTCCTTGGGGTTCTTGGCGGTGGCGTATTTTGGGCCGGGGAATTTTGATTCCCGGGGGATTCCGATCCCTTCCGGTATCCCGGGGGTGGCTTTGGGGTGTCTCGGGGGCGATGGGTCTCTCCTGGAACCCCCTTTGGGATTCCGGGGTGGGGCCAAAAGGAGATGTTTTTGTGGGGGATTTCCGGCCGCCCTCTTTTTGTCCCCCCGAGGTAGCCGGCAGATTGAGGGTTTCATCCCGGATTCCGGGTTTTCGGCATGAGGGTGGGTGTGGCACGGGTTCCATGCGCATCTGCGCTACTTTCGGTGCGAGGTCTTCTTGGGGGAGGGAGATTTCTGGCCCTTTTCTTTCCCAGGAACTTCCCCCCCGGGCCCCCCTTTTTTTTTTCTTTTTTTTATTTTTATTTTCTTTTTTTTTTTTTTTTCTTAAAAAAAAAAAAGAATGGGGGTAACCCAACCCGGCAGCCCCGTCCCATGAGCCTGCTTCCCCCGGGGCCCCCTTTTTGATACCGCACCCCATTCGACCCCGCCTCGTCTTTGGACCACTCTTCAAACCCTAATCTGTACCTCTTGCCGGTGCGTTTCCCACCCCTTCAGGGACTGGGCCCCGCTGACTCCCTTTGATTTATCTGACCTTCGCTCTCCTTGACTTTCTTCCGGCCTCCCCTCTACGGGGCGGCAATTTTCGAATCGCCGGCCTTTCCACGCGGACAACTTGGTTTCCCCCGCCTAAACGACAAGACAATTTTCCTGCTATGATACTTCTCCCCTTTTCGTTCTTCTCAAAAAAAAACCCCGTCCTTCCTACCTTCCACGCTCATTTCAGCGCCCCAATGGACTAAATTCTTCACTTACGACCGACTTCCTCTACTGCCTATCTTTCTGACCCCCAGTATTGGCAAGGCACTCCTATGCCATGTTGGTAAAGATATTTCTTTTCATGCTCTAAAGCATCATCACCGAACAGAATGCTACCCAGGCTCATGAGATTTCTCGTCTTTCCCATATCGATACTGTTCCTGAAAACTATTGAAAAGCATCATTCCTAAATTTTTGTAGTGGTACTGTCATTCTGCCCCATACCATAGTTCAACAAAATTTCCAGACTTGTGGCACTGACATTCTTGAACAGCTGGAACTCCAGATCTCCCAATCCTCAAGGTAAAACACGTTTTCCTGCCCGCGGGGGGGAGACGATACCCTAGCAATGTGGCCTCGTTTAACTTTTGACAGGCCGTGAACTCCATCCTCAGTTTTATGTAGCGGAAACATCGGTTACAAGTTCGAAAGGTGATCCCTACACCGCAACATGTAGAAATTGCTGGCGATTTGGCCATCCAGCGAAATATTGCAGATCTATCGCCGAATGGCCCATCGTGTGTGCCGATGACCATTCTAATAGGTCTTGCAATCGACTCCCTTTTGCCTTAATTGTCATGAGGCTCACCCTTCGTACTCTCGCCCCTTGTCAATCTACTTAAACGGGGGGAAATCCAATTACCTCAAAGAGGCAGAAGGTCTCCCTTATTCCATGGCAGTTTCTCATCTCCGCCTCCAAGGGAGACTACCTCGTGGGTTTCTTATTCCCCGGGGTTTTCAAAAACGTCCCCCCCCCTTCTGGTATCCCATCTTCTGCACCCACCTCTGTGGGTTACCTCCCCATAGTCACTCCTGTACTAATTCTTTTGCTGTCCCGGCTCAGACGTCCCTACTTCAACGTCTCAGTCTGATCTTTCTTCTTCGTGTTCTCTCTCACAAGCCTCAGTAAACGACGAGATCTCGTATGAACACTCCTCCCAATCGTCCTCTACTTCTCAAAAAGTCAAAAAAAAAAGGGCCGTTAAAAACCTCCTTACCCATCTTCCACATCTCATTCCCTTCCCTGTCTCTGTACCTGGGTTTTCCCCCTCTCACTGGCTCTGTTACAAGTGTAAGGTTCACCCCTCCTCCTCATACTGTATCTTCCTCCCCTGTTTCCCTCCCAAGTTTCTTCCTCTTCTGCCACCTCCCAGGTTTCTGCCTCTTTGTACCCCTGCCACGCTTCTCCAGTTCCCTCCACCCTTTGCCCCCCCCCCCCTACCTTGGTACAGTCCAATACAGTTCCAATCTTTTACTCATCCTCCCCCTACCATTTCCAATATTGTCTCCCATACGACGTCTCTGAATTCCGAAACACTTGAAGCAATCTCTGAATATATTGCAGAGACCAAACCATCAATGGACACTGATCCACCTTCCGCTCTTTCTCCTCCTCTGCTCCATCTGCGCACTCCTTTCTTCACAGCGCACCGTTCCTTCACTTCTTCAACATTTTCCACTGCCTCCGCATGTGGACTTTTCTAACCCCTCTAGTCCGTAGGAACCCTTACCTACGGATTTCAAGTATCTTTATCATGCCAATCATGGCCTATTTACGTGGAATATATGGGGCCTCGGGGGTAATCGGGGTGAGCTTCAGATGTTACTCTCCCAGTTTGCCCCTGTTGGTGTTTGCTTACAGGAACCAAAATTACACTCTGCTGTTATTTCTCCCATTCCTCAGGCTATAATTTATTGTATTCTTCAGATCCTTTTCCTGATGGGACCTTTAAATGAAAGGGGCCCTTCTTCTACGCACTGATATTCCGTACCATCACTATTTGTTCATCCCTTCGCTGCATACACAGCAGCCCTATCCACTTAAAGGTGGTATACGCTCTGTTCTTTATATCTCTCTCCTTCTCGGGCATTATCTATTCCGGATATTGCCTTTCTTGTTTCGTCTTTACCCCCACCGATTCTGTTACTTGTGATTGTAATGCCTACCATTTCCTTTTGGGGGGTCTCACTGTGTTTTCCCGTGGAATTCAGTTAGAGGCTTTTCTTACCACCCCACCCCCTCCATGTTTTAAATACAGGTACCCCACACCCATTTTGATCCTCGACTCATATTTCTCTCTTGCCATCGATCTCTCAGTCTGCTCTTCCTCTGCCGCATTAGACTTCACTTGGTCTGTTCTCCCGGACCTTACATGACAGCAAATCTTTTCCAATCATTCTTATTTCCCCCTTCATATTCGCCACCTCTTCGCACCCCACGCTGGCAATTTGATGGGGGCAAATTGGAACCTTTACTCACACCAAACTGTTTAAGAGAGGTCCTTCTTCGTCCTCCATCGATGAGCTTTTCACCTCTTCTCGTCCTCCGTTTTAACCGCAGCTTCTCATTCTATACCCCAAACTTCGGGCAGGCATTCTCAAAAAATGCGTCCTTGGTGGTCTCCTACTTGTGCTCATGCAGTACGTTTGAAATGCGCTGCATGGGGCAGGTATCGGTAAAATAAAAACCACAGAGAGACTCCTTAAATTTAAACAGAAGCGTGCGATCGCGCGCCGTGTCATCCGTGATGCTAAACGCACTTGCTGGCGAGATTATGTCTCCACCATCACCTCTGCTTCCTCTATGAGTGCAGTCTGGAAAAAAGTACGAAAACTGAGTGGAAAAATATTCTCCTGACCCGGCTCCTTTTCCCTGCGGGTTGCCGGTGTTGATATAGCAAACCCACTAGATGTTGCCAATGAAATTGGCAATCATCTGGTCCGTATTTCCCCCAGGGACTCCATCTATGCCCCTCATTTCTTTCCTCAAAGTCTGCCAGAGAGTTAGCACCCTTGGACTTTTCTTCTCTCAGAGAAGAACAGTATATGTGCCTTTTACACTTCAAGAACTGGAGGCAACACTCTCAGCTTGTCGATCATCGACAGCTGGGCCCGACGACATTCATATTCGTATGCTACAACATTTACATCAAATCAGCCCTTGCAGTCCTATTACACCTTTACAATCTTATTTGGTCACAA